ACGTTTTTCTTTATTTTTACATTCAGAATGCTTTAAAATTCCATTTACAAGACAATTGTTTATAATAAAATTCTATTCAATCGGTAGACTCATAACGATTGAAAACAACAAAAAAAAACTAATTAAGACATGCGTGTCCGTCAACCTTAAACAATAATCTTTGTCAATTTTATTTTTCAGTCTTTATGATGGTCGATACTTGATCTATCTCTTACTGTTACATCCCCGGGCAACGCCGGGCTCTACTGCTAGTATAATATATAGAAGGATCTGAAATATTAAAGTTAAGATCAGAATTAGCCAAAAGATGAAGAGGAACAAAGCAACAAAACCTGATGGGATTGTAACAGAGATACTATCGGCCTTCGACATCGACAAGATTATAGAAATAATAAATAAATTATATGACTGCGATGACGTAATGGAAGCCGTCAGTAGCGCCGCATAATAAACCAGGTGTAAAAACAAATACGAGCTCCATCGAACAATTAGCTTAATGAACCACCAAGCTAAGCTTATCAAAAATATAGAGGCGTAGGACAAAGATTTGTCTTCTCATCAGATTTATTTAAAATCTATACAGTGAGGTAATCCTAAGAGAACTAGATGTCCTCGCAGGATTTATTACTGGTGGGCACAATGTTAAGAATATAAGATACGCAGATATGGAATTAACATTAATTCCATTTATAATTTTACGCGCGCGCGAGTTTCCTCCCTTTGTTTTACACTCGTGCGTGTGTGCGCGCGTGTTTTCACCCCTACCTTTCACTCACTGCTAAACATAGCAGTAAGCTCCTTTTAGCTGCTACTGATTAACTCATGATAGATTTTGAATTTTTCCCGCGCGTTTCGCGGCGTCTCAAACGGCCAGCGTTTGCAGCCAGTTGTTTCCCGGTCCTCAACCTGAGTAGACGGGCAACTCATTTATTCCGTGCCCTTAATCCATATGCGGGCCGGAATATCTTATTTTTCAACAATGTCGACTGCACCCTCTACCAAGACTTTTTCTCCTTTTGAAGCTGCCAACAGGTCGGACCTTTTTCTCCGTTTTCCACTGGAAGATGTTTTAGAGATACGCGACACTGTCGCGAGCAAAAGTTCGTATGCAACTAATGGCGTATTTTTATCCCTCGACAGGGGCCTAATAAGTATAGGCAGGGATGTCCTACTGAACGAACAAATTGCTAATCACAGGTCAGGACCTTTTTTCTCCGTTTTCTACCAGAAGACGTTTTTAGAGACACACGACACTCGTCGGCAGAAACTTCGTGTTCAACAGGTGACTTAAACTTACCCCTGGCTTCGAACCAAATAATACAGGCAGGGATAGTTTACCTTTGAACAAATATTTTTCGTCTTTCTCTTTGGGCTCGCCGTAAATCATTCTACAAGACCATGTTTCGTTTCTATCGGCTAGATGCCCCACACAGCAGTCCAGAACATTTACCAGCGGCCAATACAATATTACCTTTGAACAAAAACATTTTTCGTCTTTCTCTTTGGGCTCGCCGTAAATCATTCTACAAGACCATGCTTAGTTTCTATCGGCTAGATGCCCCACACAGCAGTCCAGAACATTTACCAGCGGTCAATTCAATGTTTACCGAACATTCTTTATAACTCTGAACCTGTACATTAAAAATATGCATAATCACTTACAACTTAAAATATCCACAGTGAGTACTCCTTTCTATCTGTGCGCACATTCTTTTTCCGGAACTGTAAAACTTTCTTTTCCCGCCTTTGGCCATCTTGTATTTCTATTTTGGCGCGGAACACTTTTCATTGATCCCTACCTTGGGATGAGTTACTCGTTACTGTTTAATTAAAGTTTTGTTTACTCATGTTTTATAAACAGATGTCTGTGTCATTTTTATTTCGGCTATCTTAATATATTTTATTTTATGCACGTGTTGATTGACCCCTTTCCTCTCACTGTTCATTCACGCATATTTATCTTTTTACTTTGCTTGTAGACTCGGTAGTGTAGTGTAGTGTCTGGCACAAGGCCACTTAGTAATAAACCAGCGCTGCCCCCTACCGGGTCCGCAACACAGATATTTAATTTATTTAACCTACAGTAAGATTGTTGCGGACTGGTGATTGTGCTTAAATTGATCAGAAGGAATTTCGAGGCCGTGTTCTACAACATTCGTCCATAACAATTATTTAGAACAAATACTTGGAACAAATCATGCAAATAAAGTTAAAAACAAGACAAAAGTTGAATGCATAACAATAACATCAATTTATATACAATTTAAATACAGTGGGTTTAAGATTTGATGGATAAATGAGGATTAGTGTATTTAATTGTGTATTGTGTTGTTGTGAATTTCCTCACAGATGAACAAGAGACATGAGGCAGCAGAGATGTAGTACTACAGAAGGATGCTGGGAATATCATAGACTGAACATATAAGTAACAAGGAAGTTTTCAGGAAAAGTAAAACATAAAAGACGCTTATAATTAGAATCATAAAAGAGTTGAAATTTCTGGGATGCATATGAAGAAAGGGGGCTTGGAGAATTTGACACTCACAAGCAATTGAAAGCAAAAGAAGAGGGAAAATGTAAGTAATCTACCTAAAGAGCTTGTGCAAATGGATGGCAGCAGAAGTTGAAGAGATAGTAAGAAAACAAACATTACTAAGAGCTACAAAAAATAGGAAGTAGTGGAGAGTCATGATCGCCGACGTCCTGAATGGACACTGCTCATACAAGAAGAAGAAGAAATATCCTTATAAATTGCAAGAATATTTTTGTTAAAATCCTAGTGATTTCACTCTCGTTGTGAAAAAATGTTTTTTTCCTTGCGTAGCTTTTTGTAATTATCCACTTACAACACTTTATAGAGTGGATATTTAGTTTTAAAAATACTTTTCTGAAAAAAATTATCGGAAGTGAAACGTTACTTATTCATGGGAGCCTTTAAACGTAATCATAGCTACTTTGACTTGTACACAACTGGATTTAAGTCACGTGTTACAATAACTTTTGGAATAAAAATGATTATAATCTCAACGAAGCTTTATTTAATATGCAGAAAGGAAATATTTTAAAATGATTAGGTAGGGTTAAAAGATCAATAAAACTACCGACACCATTTGTGATGATAACGAAATGTCAGTAGCAGACGACAACAGTTGTCGTCTGATAGATAATGAAAATGAAGGAAGATATCTAAGTCGCATACCAGAAAATAACTGAATCTACTAAAATGAGATATTAGGTTGTCCATAGCCAACTAGTATTATACGACCCTACATGTCACATAACAAATTGAATTCTCACAGGTCGATGTAGTGTAAGCAAAAATGTGACTGGCCGCTTAGAAAATTGCTAATCTAAAAGGAAGATAACTTTGAAAATTGAATTCTTAGAACGTAAATTAACAACGTACAATTACATAGAAATTATCAGATATTATTTCGATTCCCTTGACATGTTTTCAACGCTAAAATGCATACTTACATCTTTCTTCTTTTTTTCTTTTTTTTTTAATATCCACGAATTATAAACGTCTGTGAGTTTTATCGCTTTTCCTTTTATGATTTTCAATTGCGTATACGACCCGTTTTACAAATGAACGCTATTACGTTTGTTCTGATATTTTGTTTAATAAAAATGGTTAACAAATGTGTTAAATTTGGTTATTCTAGTGGATATGTTATTAACAGGGAATAAGTATCAACATTTTCTTTTTCTTTTGGAAAATCCGACCTCGGAGAAAAACGGATAAAATACGTTAATCGTCTTGACTGGTTTCCTACAAAAAAATCAGTTCTCTGTATGAAATATTTTGAAGTGAAATTTATTCTGAAAGGAAAACGAAACAAACTGAATTAGGATTTAAATCTAATAGCTACAATACATAAAAAAGGTCTCTTTTGCCGAATACAAAGGAATTCAGAAATCCTCCAAAACAACGACTGGTTCAAACTGATGAATTACATGATTTTATTTCAGCTGATAAAGGATTTTACTCAACTGGAAGAAGCAAAGTGTTGTCCTAATGGTTTTGAATTAAAAAAAAAAAAGAAAATTATATTCTCATTTACAGAATAGTCTTTGACTTCGCATTGACTAAAACCTTCCCGTCCAGCTTCAGTACGATGGAACCCCTATACTGTTACTACGGTAGTTTATATATGGACATAAACTCACAAGATTTAGCGTGTTAGAAAAATTTCCAAACTACATACAAAACGTGGTGGAAGAACAACCATACTCAATTCTAAAAGAATTACAAAAAAACAGCATTACCAACCAAGAAGCTATCCTTCACTTTCTGCAGAACTAATACCTTATGTCTTATTACTGCGCTATACATCTCAAGAAGCCTACAAATTACTTCTGGAAAAATTTCCATTACCCTTTTTTTCTTTATTTGAGAAAGTTCAATAAAAATTAATTAAACGTTTTCAATGTGAAATGTGTTCCCTGGTCATGGTAGGCAATGATAGTGATGATGCTACAGAGAAACAGTACTTTGATTTACTTTCTCAGGGAGGTCTTACAGTTCCATCTAGCCAAATGTCAGAGTTCATTTATACTTGTTTTGCTATACTTGACTATGCAGATGAATTTATTGTAAAATATAATGAAGCCACTACAAGATTCTGCTGAAAGAATTTTGGAAACTTATTCTCCAAAATATGTTTTTACTTGTGAACAACGCACTGAAAAAGGAATTAACTTTGCAGCAAAAATTGTTGTAAATATATTTTACAACAACAAACGAAAGTTTTTGTCGGATGTAGTTCGAAAAATATGGTAGAATGTTTTTAAAAAAGGCAAATGTCAAAAGAAAATTGATTTTTAGAGTCCTTTCAAACTGTCAGAAACACACAAAACTCAATTTTCGCCACTAAACAAAAATAAAAGACCTTTAATTTCGAACCGAAATTAATTTAAATACAGTCAACAAACACCGAACACACTTTTGACTGTAATTAATACGGCCCGAAATTAATTATATTCATTTACTTGTTTAGCGTCACCGCTTTCTCTTGTATGAGCCGTCATATCTAGATGCCCGAGACTTCGCAGCGGTTTTTAGCCGGCCCGGGGAGCAGCCCGGCCTTCGGTCTGGGTTGCGACCCATGGCAAAGTCTAGTTTGGACCATATCAGGACCTGTTAAGACAAGCTAAGACCAGAACTTGACTAAGCCTTGACCAGTTTGGACATGTTGTGACCAATCTTTGACCCTATGCGGAAACCCTTGGGAAACGCTTGGGTTTTCCACGAAAACGACCTTGTGTCACGTCTTGACACCGTGTGTGTCAAGTAATCCCACGAAAAACGACCTTGTGTCACATCTTGACCTCGTGGGAGTCAAGTAAATACCGCCGGCCCGGGGAGCAGCCCGGCCTTCGGGTTGGGTTGCAACCATGGCAAAGTCTAGTTTGGACCATATCAGGACCTGCCAAGACCAGAACTTGACTAATCTTTGACCAGCTTGGACATGTTATGACCAAAACATTTACTAAGCCTTGACCAGCTTATGTTGTGATAAATCTTTGACCAGTGACCCTATGCGGAAACGCTTGGGTTTTACCACGAAAAACGACCTTGTGTCACGTCTTGACCCCGTGGGAGTCAAGTAATCCCACGAAAAACGACCTTGTGTCACATCTTGACCTCGTGGGAGTCAAGTAAATACCGCCGGCCCGGGGAGCAGCCCGGCCTTCGGGCTGGGTTGCGACCATGGCAAAGTCTAGTTTGGACCATATCAGGACCTGCTAAGACAAGCCAAGACCGTAATTGACTAAGCTTTGACCAGCTTGGACATGTTATGACCAAAAACATTGACTAGATTTGACCAGCTTGGACGTGTTATGATCAATCTTTGACCAGTGACCCAATGCGGAAACGCTTGGGTTTTCCCACGAAAAACGACCTTGTGTCACGTCTTGACTCCGTGGGAGTCAAGTAATCCCACGAAAAACGACCTTGTGTCACATCTTGACCTCGTGGGAGTCAAGTAAATACCGCCGGCCCGGGGAGCAGGAAGCCTCCCTGATTCGCGACTTTGACGCACCCAGTCAAGTCGACCAAGCCCAGCAGCTGACGGGACCCAGCAGCAGTAGCAGCAGTTGTTCAAACAGTCCTTTTCCGGGCTAACTTCCGAAAGTCATTCGATCACCACTTTTCGAGGCTCCACTCACTTCACTCTTCGCTACTGCCTTCCCTTTGTGACGCCAGCTCACTCCTGCAGCTTCCAGCTCTCTCCTGCAGCTTCCAGCACTCCTGCAGCCTTCAGCTTACTCCTGCAGCTTCCAGCACTCCTGCAGCTTCCAGCTCACTCCTGCAGCTTCCAGCTCTCTCCTGCAGCTTCCAGCGGCCTCCAGCTCATCCCTGCGGCGCTCTACTGACGTCCCGCTACCTATTCCAGCACCCGCTGACGACCTAATCCAGTGCCCACTGACGTCCAGCGCCCGTTATCGTCCAGACACCGTTCCCGAACAAACGACCTCTGTCGTCTTACCATCCACCGTTCGCAAATAAAGACACGATTTCCATCGTCTACACCGGACCATCGGCGTTTGTCATCCTTCTTTGCTATTGCCAACTCCTTGCCTTTGTGTCCCCTGTTTTAGTTGTACGGTCGATTGGCACTCACACCTCTCGGCCCGCTGCAACAAATCCCCGCCAGGCACATTCAGCAACCCTGACGCACGCTTCAGCCACATCCACATCGACATAGTGGGACCCCTCCCAATGTGCCAGAATTATCAGTACCTCCTCACAGTGGTTGACCGTTTCTCCAGGTGGCCAGTAGCAGTACCCATCAGAGATACCTCGGCTAGCACGGTAGCAAAGACCATCCTTCAGGAGTGGATCGCAATTTTTGGCGTACCCAGCATCATCACCACAGACCGCGGCGCGCAGTTTCAGTCCTCACTCTTTCAGGAATTCACTCAACTGCTCGGCGTCAAACACATCAAGACCACCGCCTACCATCCCTGTGCCAACGGCCTTGTGGAAAGGTTCCACCGAACACTAAAGGCCTCTCTAACTACAAAACATCCCACCAGCAACTGGGTAGACGAGCTACCCTTAATCCTTTTGTCAATCCGCAACACACTCATAGAAGACTTAGAATGCACTCCAGCCGAAATAGTCTTCGGTACAGCACTCTCTTTACCCGGCCAATATTTCGACGACACCATACCCAACCTAACCACTGCAAGTCCTTTCACTCAGGAACTTCGCCATAAAATGGCCCAACTGAAGTATACACCACCCAGGCAATCATCACCAACTATCCACGTTCCACAACAGCTTCAGGACTGCGAGTTCATTTTTGTCCGAAATGACGCGGTAAAGAAACCACTAACACCAACATACCAGGGTCCATTCAAAGTCTTAAAACGCTCTGAGAAGCATCTCACCATTGATCGAGGAAGCCGGACGGACACTATGTCCATCGACAGAGTCAAACCAGCTTTTCTGGAAAAATCTCCACGGGAGGCAGAACCCGTCTCAACACACCCAGAAACCTCACCTGCCTCAACAACCACGCAATCGCAACCATCACCACCGAGGTCAGAGCCAATCCCAGAATCACCCACCACTCCACCTAGGCAGACCCGTCTTGGAAGGAAAGTCACCTTCCCTAAGAAGTACAAGACATATATTTTCTTCTAATTGATAATGATCAATTATCCTGGGAGAGGGTCTTGTCGCAGTGTGCCCAAACACCACTCCCACCTTTTCTTAAACAACCCCGGATATGCCGTCCGGTAGAGAAAGGTCACGGCCCTTGTGTGCTAAAAATAGCAACGACATCCTTTCAAACTGTCAGAAACACACAAAACTCAATTTTCGCCACTAAACAAAAATAAAAGACCTTTAATTTCGAACCGAAATTAATTTAAATACAGTCAACAAACACCGAACACACTTTTGACTGTAATTAATACGGCCCGAAATTAATTATATTCATTTACTTTTCGTCACCACTTTCTCTTGTATGAACCGTCATATCTAGATGCCCGAGACTTCGCAGCGGTTTTTAGCCGGCCCGGGATGCAGGAAGCCTCCCTGATTCGCGTTGTATGTTTTTTGTATTTTGAAGACCAAAGTGTAGTATCTGTTCTTACCAGCTTGATATCGCATTGGATTTACCGGACTTTTTCTCACTTGGATTACTTACTTGGATTATTTACCAAAACGGACTGTCACAAGGAAAGTAAAAAAAGATCCGCCTGTCAACAAAAAGAATACGGACATCCTAAATCGATAAGTTTTTCTTTTTTTACCCTTTATTTTGAAAAAAACTTTTTATTTTTCGTTTCTCTCTTGGTTTTCTTATTCCCTTTTGTTGACTCGGTATTTTTTATTCCTTCTCGTTTTTATCTCCCTCCCACATTTTAATTTGCCGTTTTCCTTTTTGTTGAAACTATTATTGTCTTTGGTTTCCCCCATTTCGTACGTTTAATTTTGTTCTTAAATAACAAATTTTGTCCTGTATATACCAAAAGCATTAAAAAAAAAAGTTTTTAAGCCGTTAGACTGTGGTGGGTTTTCCACCATGGTCGATAACAATATTCCTAATACCCCTGAGACACCGGTTCCAGAACCGGTGTCGCCTAGCAAATCGGCCTGGTCGCAAAACAGGCCGACCCAGAAAGATGGCAGCTTTTATGCTAGTCAAAGAACAGTGTTTGAGGAAACATTCAAGGGAAATGAGTTCCTCACTATTAAAGAAGCCCTAAATGCTGTGGAACCTAGAACAATTTCCCTGCTGACTTCGGACGTGAAAACAAGAAAGTTATTTGGAGTCAGCAGGGAAAGCATGGAAGAAACTCTAAAAGCTCTGCACATACACCCAAAAGTGCTGGCGAGAAGAACTAACGCCCTATGGGACATTCTTCTCGCAACAGAACAAGAAGCCAGGGATTTGGCCGGGAAGACGTTGACGTCCAAGACCCTGAGACTTCAGACAGAGTACATGGGCACCCGCAGGACAAGGATTACCGTCCATGGGGTGTCCGTGGACATTTCCGAAGACAGGATAGGGGCCTTCTTCACCAAGTATGGAGAGGTGAATGAAGTAAAAGCCCTCAGAAGTAAGTCTGGAATTGAGACGGGGGACATGGAGGTGCAGGTAACTCTAAATAGAACTGCATTTAGGGACGTCCCCAACACGTTGACCTGCCGAGATAGGAGGATGCTGGTTGTGGTGGAGGGCAGGAAGCCTTGGTGTTGGTCGTGTGGTGTGTCGGGCCACATGGCGAAGGGGTGCCCCAGTAAGAAGGACACACAAGCTGCGCCACAACCGGCAGCTGCAACAGCAAAAAAGTTACTGCAAGTCAACCGGAGGAGGGGACGTCTAAATCGGACGGAGAGTGGAAGGAGGTGGTCAGAGGCAAGAAGTCTCCGAAAGTTTTACCTCCACCCCCACAAAAAGAGATACCTCAGCCGGTAAAAGTGAAAGAGGTGCAGGCAACAAAAGAAGGCCAGCAGCAGCAGCAACCAAAACAACAACAGCAGCAGCCAAAAGAACAGCAGCAGCAGCAACAACAACAAAAACAACAGCAGCAGCAACAACAACAGATGGAGGTGGACAGAAGGCCCCCACCTCGTGCTTCATCCCTGAAAAGGTGCAGGGAGGAAGACGAAGACGACGAGGAGGAAAATAAAAAACAAAAAGAGCCTAGCAGTAGTAGGGCGGAGGAAGGCATGGAGAGATCCAGGTCGCTCTCCGTCCCTGCTTCTCCAAGAAGATCGGTGGCTGCCACCAAACCTAGGAGCCAGCCTCCCTTCACGTCCCGTGCTCCAACCCCCTCTCCCTCCACTTCCTCCTCCCTAGATGCTTCGGCCACCCTGCCCCACACATCTACCTCTTCCCCTCCCCATCCGTCCCGAGAGAAAAAGAAAAAGAAAATGTTTGCAGGCCCCGAGTCTATATGCAAAGTCGACAGAAACGACTTTAAATGGGGTCTGACAAAGCAGAGGAAGGCCATCTTAGGAGGTCTGTACAAGATGGACGCTGTCGACGGAAAACGTATAGAGGACCCCCGAAACTTCCCACAGGCCCCGGGAGTGATAACCTGCGTGAGGGAGAAGGGGGCGTATCTAAAGGTGTGGAACCACATCTTTGAGGCGAAGGAAGCCTTCCCCGACATCCGTATAGTTGAAACGGACAATTCCACCCTTAACAAACTAAGAAACTTTTGTGCTGGGAGGGTCCCCGTGTTGCTCCATCCCTCCTTATATAGGGCGGTAAAACTAACTTACCCCACGGACGTCGGCGGGATTATCCTAGACGGTCGTATGACGACCGAATTAGGAACCGGAAATCTGGGACAGGCCGTCGGGGTCCTTACCAACGCAGATTTCTGCCCGGTATGTGAGTAGGCTTTTTGCATGTTTTCTTTTCTTTCTTTTTTTGCAGGCCTAAACCATGTCTGTCAAGATAGCGACGCTGAATGTGAATGGCTTGAGGGATCGGGGTAAGGCGGCCCGCCTGCTCCGGGATCTCCTGTCGTTCGGCGTGGATGTTGCCGCGATCGAAGAGACCCACTTTGTTTGCAGTTCCGATGCGTGTGTGTTGTCTAACGACTTTGTCGTCTATTCAGCATATGGAGACCGAACTGCCAGAGGAGTGTCTTTGCTGGTGAAGCGGACTCTAGATGCGAAGGTGGACCTTGTGCATACCGATGCCGAGGGACGGTTGATCGTGGCCGATATTGCCGTGAAAAGTGGTTCGTTTCGGGTCGTTGCGGTTTATGCGCCCAACGACCAGGAGGAGCGGGTTTCGTTTTTTCGGCGGTTGGGGCCTTTCCTGGTGGATTCCAAGCGCTTAGTTCTAATGGGGGACTGGAATGCCGACCTGGACCCCAAGATAGATCGGGGGCGGGGTGCTAGCGGGAGAAGGGGCAATCGTAGCCTGGTCGATCTGATCACAGATTTCGGTCTCGTTGATAGATACCGGGTCGATCACCCCGGGGGGAATATGTGGACGTGGGCTCTTAGCTGGCCTTGTGACAAGGTAGTTAGCTACCTTGACAGAATGTTAGTGAGAAGGGCCGACATAGATCTGTTAGATTGTCCCACGTTCCACTGGGTAGGCTATACGGACCACAAACTCGTTTGTGCCCGTGTGGCGTTAGAACATAGGCCTAGAATGGCTGGCTACTGGAAGTTCAATCTGTCCTTACTGGACAGGCAGGACTTCCGGGAGCATCTGACTAACTTAGTGCAGCGGGAGCTAGTGGGGGCGGTTATCGGGAATAGGTGGTGGGACAGACTTAAATGTAGAATTAGGTCCTTCACCACTGATTTCAGCAAACGGCTCGCCCTAGATAGAGCTGACAAGGTGAGGACGCTTAAAGCTAATCATTCCCGGGCGGTGGCTGGGGGGGGGATCCCCTAGAGATAGCCGTAGCTAAGGAGGCTCTGCAGCGTTTGAATAGCGAGCGCTACATGGGCCAGGTAATTAGGCATAGGTTAAGCAAGATGTCTTCCGAAGCCGTGAATATGGGAGCAGAGCTGCGCAGGGAAGAGGTCCGTCGAGGTGGCGATCGTTATATTCGTGAAGTCAAAACCCTGGAAGGGCGCACACTTCGGGCCACTGACGACATGTGCGAGGCGTTTAGGCGGCATTTCGAGAGCTGTTTTACCAGAGAGCCTGGTCTTCGTGAGGACGAGTTTCGCAGCTATTTAGCTGACTTTCCTCGGCTTTCGCCGACTGAAGCGGCTAGCTGCGAGGGAGAGATTACCGAGGGCGAGGTCTACGCGGCTTTGAAGAAGGTCGGCAGAGGCAAGTCGCCCGGTCTGGATGGTCTGCCCTATGAAGTGTACTTGAGGCTGTCGCACATCTTTGTCCCGATTTTGACGGTCGTCTTCAACAACTGGTTCCGGCAGGTGTCTCTCCCCGACCGGTTCTCCAGGGGTGTGATCACGCTGTTGAAAAAGGGCAAAGATGTCGGGGGGGGGGAACTAGACGACTACAGGCCCATAACTCTGCTAAACACAGAGTTAAAGATTATGGCCAAGATCCTGCAGGAGCGCTTGCAGTCAGTTGCCGAGTCTCTGTTGGGTCCCGAGCAGACCTGTTCTGTGAGGGGTCGAACAATTCAGAGCAACCTGCATTTGATCCGCACGATCATAGAGGGTGTAAAAGACGACGAGTGTGCCGCGCTGATCAATTTGGATCAGTCCAAGGCATTTGATAGAGTTGACCATCGCTACCTTGCTACTGTCCTGAAGGCCGCCGGATTCACACCCGACTTCTGCCGCTGGATTAGCCTCCTGTATCGCTCCCCTAGTGCTGTGGTACAGGTGAACGGAAAGCTGTCAGGCGCTTTTGCGCTGTCTAGGTCGGTTCGTCAGGGTTGCCCGCTGTCGCCCCTACTTTAAGCTTTGGCGTTGGAGCCTCTCCTTCGCCGGCTGAGGGACGGGGCGTGCAGGCCGGCCCTATGCGGAATCGCCGTTCCTGGCGGGGCTCGAGCCAGGGTTTCCGCGTACGCCGATGACGTAACTGCTTTCGTGTCGTCCTGCAGAGGCATCAGGGCAGTACAGAAGGCGCTTGATCGGTACGAAAAGGTGACAGGGGCAAAGATTAACCGCGACAAGTCGTCCGGCTTGCGGCTAGGCGCCTGGAAGGGGGTCGATCTTCCAGGGCCTTTCGGTTGGACGGACGGTCCTGTCCGCATTCTCGGAGTGTGGTTTGGACCCGACCTCCAGCTGGAGAAGAATTGGTCCGAAGTATGAGCAAAGGTCTACGCCGCCGGTCAGACTTGGCGTCGACGGAGGTTGTCCGTGAAGGGCAGGGCGGAGGTGTGTGCTACATACATTTTCCCTCTTGTCCTTTATCGATTGTCCGTACTTCCTCTCTGACGACCAGTCTGTGCACAACGTCCGTGTCATGGGGGGCTGGGAATGCCACACTTGCTGAGCCACAAACGTGCCTCGAGGTTGGCTTTCCTACGCCGCGCTTTGACAGGTGGAGATCCGATTATTGAGGGGATTGTGAGGGCCGCCTTCCCTCGCCTTGCCATCAGTCCCCCAAGCTCGCGGGTGGATCGCCGTCGTAAACCCCGGGTCCAATCGGTTTTCTTTAGCGAGTGTCGGTCGGCCTTGTTGGCTGTCCCTTGGTCCAGTGACCTTTCTCGGCCTAGGAAGGACTTCTATCGTTTGCTAGTGGAGAGGGTCGCGAAGGATCCCCTACGTGAAGATCTCGACATGTCGGATGGTGAGTTTCGTTCTCACTGGTCTTGGGCGCCAGCGGCGGATTACCTCAGTAACCCCGAGTTTTCGCTTACCTGGCGACTGGCTCGGAATCGGCTGCCTCTCAACGACATGGCCTTCATATGGGGCTTGGCGGATTTGCCAGACTGCGATCGGTGTGGCCTTGGTCTAGAGGAAACGGCTTCGCACGCCTTCTTCCATTGCCCCCGGGTCCGCCCCTTATGGGACCATGTCGGCGAGCTGACGGCTCGTCTCGCTCCCGAAAAGCTTGTGCCCATTGATCGCGCATACGCGTGTGACAATGTGTCGCCCCCGTATTCCGGGGTGAAACGGATGGTGTTTCTCACGCTGCTAGCCACGGCCCGAATGGTGATATGGACGACGCGAGAGGAGGAAGTCTTGCGGGGTAACCGTCTTTCTCATCAGGATCTGAACCGATTCTTTGAGCATCAGCTCAAGACGAAGATTAGAACTGATAGAAAACGCTTGCATTCGACAGTCTTCAGCGAAAGGTAGGTGACTGAGGCGAGCTTGGTTCATGTGAACGGGGCTAGCCTTGATTTTCTGTTTTAGGTCAAGCCTACGTTACATCGGGGTGGCTTCCTGTGGTGCCCTCCCCTTGGTTAGGTTAGACAAGCCTTGGTGTACCTAGTTAATGTGAGTAAGTGTTGTTCCCGGCCTGCCCCCGGCCACATCTTTAGTTTTGATCCAGCCTGAGATTCCCAACTTCCCCAGTTTGTTTTTTGACCCCCCACTTTCTATCTCGACTGGGTCAGATTTATACTTCCCCATGCCCGTATGATTTTTTTATGACCTTTCCCACTCCCTTAGCGAGAGAGCTGCTTGATTTTGTTCCAATGGGCAGAATGCAGTGGTCTCCCTGCATTTTGAGGGTTGGACGGGCCCTACTAACATCAGTTAACGTTTTATTTTCATTTATGTTAATATTTTAGTTTGTTATTGGGTTCACATCCCACCCCCATCTCATTTTTTCATCTTAGAATTTGTGTACATATGTGTTAGGATCATTATGACATGGGGCGCGTTTTGTAGGTCTCCCTTGAGTGGATGTGGTATTATGGTGCAAGGAGGATTGATTGGTGACGGACGAGTTCTTATGGTGAATGAGTAAATTGTAATGTCTGATTGGGTCGTGAATCAAATTAGCTAGGTATAAGATAGTGAAGACCAGCCTTACCCCCTCCCCCTTTTCGGCCTTGTGCCACAATTTTGTATTTTTTACAAAATAAATCTCGCCTCCCTGATTCGCGACTTTGACGCGCCCAGTCAAGTCGACCAAGCCCAGCAGCTGACGGGACCCAGCAGCAGTAGCAGCAGTTGTTCAAACAGTCCTTTTCAGGGCTAACTTCCGAAAGTCATTCGATCACCACTCTTCGAGGCTCCACTCACTTCACTCTTCGCTACTGCCTTCCCTCTGTGACGCCAGCTCACTCCTGCAGCTTCCAGCTCTCTCCTGCAGCTTCCAGCACTCCTGCAGTATCCAGCTCACTCCTGCAGCTTGCAGCATCCAGCTCACTCCTGCAGCTTCCAGCACTCCTGCAGCATCCAGCTCGCCCCAACAGCTTCCAGCGGCATCCAGCTCACCCCTGCGGCGCTCTACTGACGTCCCGCTACCTATTCCAGCACCCGCTGACGACCTAATCCAGTGCCCACTGACGTCCAGCGCCCGTTATCGTCCGGACACCTTTCCCGAACAAACGACCTCTGTCGTCTTACCATCCAAGTTACTGTACTGTACAGTTTAAATGTGTTACCGTAAATATTACTGTACATGTACAATAAATTTTGAATTTTAGTGTGTAATTTTTGGATAATTTTTGTAACCCACGATGTCGCCCAAGAAGATGGTTGCTACTAAGAAGAGAGAAAAAATATCCGTGCAAATGAAGAAGGAGATCATTCAGAAGCACAAAGAAGGTACCCGTGTTTCTGACCTTGCCAATCGATACAGACGTTCAGCATTAACAATTTCCAATATCCTAAAGAACAAGATTGAAATTAAAAAAAAAGCTTGATGTAGCCAAGGTAGCATAATTACCAAATATCATCCAAAAGCCCTTGAAGATGTTGAGAAGCTGTTGTTAGTGTGGATGAATGACAGGAAGCTACGAATGATTCTGGTTCTGGCGATATTACATGTGCAAAGGTAATGGATCTTATCAGAAAAATACCAGGCACGTCTTTTGAAGATGAAAATGCATTTAAGGCAAGCCGAGGATGGTTTGAAAAATTTAAAAAGAGAACTGGCATCTACAGTGTAATGAGACATGGAGAGACTGCAAGCTCTGATAAAGTGGCCTTGTTTCAGACGTGTTTTGAAGTGACTGAAAATACGAACATGACCCTAAGAGAATTTTGGAAGAATCCCTTCAATATCCTAAATTGCTTAAATCTCATTGATAAAGTCTGGGAAGGAGTTACAGTCATATCTTTATTTACATTATTTGTGTATAATCTTTAAAAAGTACTTTAATTTTGCAGAAAATACTATTTTTATTGATTTTTATATCAATATTTCTGGGGTTTGAAACAAATTAATTTAATTTCTATTATTTTAAATAGGGAAAATTGTTTTGACATACAAAATTCCCAGTTATGAATCCACTTGTGGACTTGATTAAATTCATAGGCTGTGTTTTTACTGTAATTGGTTCAATTATGCTTAAATAGCAAAAATATAGTTCCATTTAAAATAACGTAAAAAAGTACTTTAATTTTGCATAAAATGCGATTTTTAATGATTTTTATTTTTATATCAATATTTTGGGAGCTTGGAACGAATTAATTTAATTTCCATTATTTTAAATGGGGAAAATTGTTTCGACTTACGAAATTTCCAGTTACGAATTCATTCTTGGAACGGATTAAATTCGTAGGTCGAGGTTCCACTACTCTCTTTCGTTCACATGAATACATACTGACTAAATTGATTAATATAAGCACTGATATATTTAAAAAAAACATGTGAACGTAGATCCTTATTAAAATGCAAAACTAAATAATTGTAGGGGCGTTATAACTCTGAGTAAATAAATATAAACACCTTAACATTTACCCGTAAAAATGAGAAACAGTAAGAGGTGGAAACAACAAAGCGAGAATCATTTATTATCTGGTTGTTGTGTTGGAGAAATGAGAGACAGTAATATTGAGTAAAATGTAGTTCAAATATGGATCGCAATTTGACAGAATGGTAAGATAAAGAATAAGTAAAGTGTATACAGTCTATCTTGTATTTTCTTTCTTTTTTTTTTTTCTTTTTTTTATCGATGTGTATAATAAGTGTCCAGAAGATACAAGAAGTATCTAGGGTTTTCTTACCTCGGATTTTTGTTGAGTGTTAAAAGTTACTATTATGGCCTGAAAAGGAAAATGGAGCCGACATTTTTTGTTGGCGCGCGTGTTGACGACCTGTCCGTATAAACTTTTTGTCCGATAGTGAGAATGTCACGTGTTTGTGTGTGTAGCGGAGAACAGTAGGGGTCGTTTCTCATTGGTTTAGAATGTGTGAATTAATAATAATTATAATTGTTGTAATTATTTTTTGACACAATAATTAACTTTTATTTATTTTTTATGGACACGAGCTTTAATTTTTAAAGTTTTAAAAGAGATATTACTTATCTTCAAAATCCTTAAGGCAAAACATTACCAAATTTAGATAAAAAGATCTAAATTCTGAGTCTGTCTATATATTTGAGATGAGGTATTATGATGACTTTCATTGTTTACAATATTCGGATTGTTATCCCCATCTTCATTGCCATATTCACAATGTTTCGGCAGTTGTATGCTCCGGCCTTTTTCAGGTGATTCAAGGACACATGGCCCAGTGGATAAAGATGTTGGTTAGATCCAATGACTAGACCCAAAGAGTTGTGAGTTCAATACCAGGTCACAGCAGTGGTGAACCAAAACTTGGAGAGTTGAGTTAAAGGGAAATAACTGAGACATACAGAAGAGGTATGGCACGTGGAACTAGAAAAATCGACCCCGGTGGACGAAATAAAGGGTTCGTTTGAAATTCCAATCACCTTAATTTTTAAATAGGGTGCCTATACACGTGCCTATGGGCCAAGGACAATATTTGCCCAGTCTCCACGACCACCGTCACGCTGGTGTCGATATTACACCGCCTCCTCTTCTTTTAATGCAGTGAAGACGGTATTGTAGCAGGTGTGGAATCCCCGCGACCTGTTGCCTTCTTCCACCTCAAATGAGGAGAGAACAGAAGCAAACTAGATCTTTTTGGCCTTTGAATAGCTAAACATATTGTCGGAGTTAGCTTCTCCTTAATTCCCAAATTGTCACTAGGGATCATTCTCCCTATACTATAAATACTGGGCGACTTTTCGCCTCGTTCTTTTTTTCATTTCTTCATTTCAGCGACCACAATGTAAGTTCTCTTAGAAGATCCGCGTCTTCCCATTTGTAAAATTGTTTTGTTTAATACATACATATATATATATATATATATATATATATATATATATATATATATATATATATATATATCGGTTTTGTTTATCTTCTTTACATCTTCAGTTGGACTTGAGTCCGGCCATTTTCTTGTAGTTGGACCTTTTAATATTCTACCAGGAGTTACACGTGTTTCTAATACAACAACACGCAAACCACCGGTCCTCTACAGCCTCAACATTAGATGTTGTACTCGTTGAATTAGTTGAAGATATAACTTTATTTTTCTAACATTTTCCCCAATCGGTTTCATATTCATAGAGATAATTTTTGTTCCTTTTTAGCTGACTGCAATCTAATTCACAGGCCAACTTATATTCAACAAACTTAATAGAAAACTTAAGACGAGGAGGATTCAAATTCAGTACCATTAGAAATAACCCAGTTATTGAAACTAAAACAATTAGTAATAGCGAAAGAACAGATTAGCACTTAAGTAAATTAGTAATTTGGAAACAAAAAAAAAAAGAAAAGATGTTGAAAAACCAAGGAGGTATACAAAAATGAATTTTAAATACGTACATGTTACTTAGAGAGAGGGCCAAGAACTGAAAAAGCACGTGGTTCTTAGTCGAAACTTAGCAAAGAGTGATTTCTGCGACTATACTCCCCCATACACACCCGAGATCGAGGGAGTGGGGTAGTCTGATCGTTTACATCGAAAAAAAATCACCTCACGATTAAACATGTAAAGATATCCTTATATGCCTATTGGGTAGGATGTTCATAGGAACGTTTAATTAGTTATCAAATTGTGCTGATAGAAATCTATTGGGCGTTCTCGAATTGATTATTTTGACTTGCTATCATTTCAGACATAATGTTGTCGGAGTACGTTTTAGTTAAAACAAATTCTAAAGAAAGTTTTCAATCTGACAGCTTGTAATACACTGGAAATCACTAGCAAAAAAAAATAATTTCCAGCAACACATGATATTAAAAATCGACTCAACATTAATCAAACCAAAACATAAAATTGTTTTTCAGCCAATGAAAAAAATAAAGAAACATATCTATCCGTTTCACTTTTACGGAAGCAGATCTTTTAAAAGAACATTTAACGACATAGACATAGACAGGGTGACATAGAGTCAAGAGAGAGTCAATTCTAAGTGAAAAGTCAGTGTCTAGATTAGAATCGGAAGAGCCAATATAAGCCAAATATTCTGCTTTATCATCAGATGTTAACATCACAAATTTTGCCGGATATTACAAAAGTCAGTTCAAAAAGCACCTCTTTTACTATGATGGTCAAGTGAAACCTTATACTATTCAACATAAAATGAAATCGACTTAATTTTTAGCTAATAACATCAAGAAAGAACTTTTTCAATTCAACCTTCATTCCTACACTACTTTTTTTACAACTTTCAAATCAACCCAAAATCTCAACCTAATTTCGAGGACTTTAATTGTACAATTCATATTCAAATATTCAAGTCTTCCTTACAAACAAAAGAAATATTACCAGCGATCTTTAACAATACATTTCTCGTTATGGAATTGTTTAAATTCTAGAAAGCAAATTATGAGTGTAGGTAAATAAATTTATTATTTGTCGATGTGATTAGTTTTTCCAACTACAAATATTTATAAGTTTCAACTCAACAAGGCCTATTTCTAAAACTTAGAGAATGGTTCTCTTTCACAAAAAATCATCAACTCGGTTTGGTAACTACACTGGAAGACAGAATGCATAGTCATCTGCAAGAGGAAGAGCTCGAAATGCGATTTGAAGATCGGGAACACTAGAATCAAGCAGACGCGGAATTCTAAATATCTGGGAAGCGTCTTGACAGAGGGCAGTAAGTGTGACACTGAGATCCGTAGACGTATTGGGATGGCCAAGGACACATTTCAAAAGGTGAGCAGAGTATTGCGAGACAGGAGGATTTCTTTGGTAACAAAGAATACTGAACTGTTACGTGACATCTGTCCTCCTTTACAGCAGCGAATGCTGGACGATTTCCTCAAAGATGAAGAAGAGACTCGATGAGACATAGATATGGTTCTACAGAAGGACGCTAAGAGTATCATGGACCTAGCGTGTGAGCAACGACGAGATCTTAGAGAGGTTACAAACAAGGAGGACGCTTATACTTAATATCAGGCAAAGGCATCTGAAGTTTCTGGAACGCATAATGAGGAAGGAGGGCCTGGAGAATCTGATACTCACGGGTCGAATAGAGAGAAAGAAAGACAAAGGAAAACAACGCGTGACATACCTGTCGAACTAAAGCAAGTGTCTGACAAAACGTGGCCTGGGGGAGGAAGCAGAGGGAAGGAAATTGTTGAGAGCTGCAAAGGATAGAGGGAGGTGGAGAGCCATGATCACCTACGTCCTGAAAGGACATGGCACGTAAAAAGAAAATATGTAGTAGGAGTGGAGGATTTTATCGCGTGGTAACTTTACTTGTTGCAAGTAACATCGGACTTCTGACGTCTCTGCAGCTGTCTCCAGTCGTCGGTGTCGAGCTTCGGTCAGTGACCGGTCAAAATGAGCAAGGGACAGGCAAGTGACTGCAGTAGATCTGATGAGCCTTTTGTCCTGATGTCCTTTTGATATTCATAACGTTGGAGTGGCTCGAAAACGAAGTGGTTGGTTGAAGCTGTGTGGATCCCTTCTACTGATTGGTCAGAAAATGACTTTTTAATTTTTCTTTTTTTCTCTCGAAAGTGGATGCTCGGAGATGGGTTAAAATTAAGCTGGTTTGTATTATTTAAGTTGTGGTTGTTCATTTTCATTAAATAGTGGGAATTCCCAGGGGCTACGACTCTCCAAATTGCTTTCTTCGTCTTGATGTCAATGACGAACTTGTGATAAAGATGGACGATCGGGAAATTTGGAAAGTTAATTCCCACTTTAGATATGACGTCCAACCGAGGCTGGTTAAACAAATTTCCAATGTTTTGTCTTGAAGAATATTTATTAAATTTGAGGAATCAATGTAAACAATTATATGAAATTAGTTTGATTAATAAAATAAAACTAGAGGATGTCATGCTGAGAAAACGCATCTGATGGATTACAGCTCTTATCGATAATAAGAGTCGGCGCGATTTTTGAAAGAGACAGTCTGTTTTCCTTTTTGCCTTAAGAGCGACAACAATCTCTCTCTCTCTCCCTCTCTCTCTCTCTCTCTCTCTCTCTCTCTCTCTCTCTCTCTCTCTCGTGGCATGTAAGGACTTCAGAGACATCAAATGAAGATAGTGTTGAACTATCATTAATTTCAACTATGAAGTTAATTTCTTTCCTTACTTTTCTATAAGATGTATTGTTAATGCATTTACTGAAATATTGGCTATCAACCACGAGATAATTCGTGATTGCCAATTTTTATTATGACGCCCACCACGAGTTATCTCGTTTTTGTGGTTTTTGCCATCAAGGTTACAACCACGGGGTTTTTTCGTGGTTTTAATGAAAATAACTGGAACTTAGTGTCTCAGACAGGAATGAAAAATCGTACTCGGAAGTAAAAGTAAACTATTTGGGAGAAAAATTTATTGAAAATATAACACATAAACGGAATATTTGAAAAATAAATTATTGTCTAATTTGGCTATTATAAAGTTAAGATTGAAATTAGGTTTCGTAACTGAACTTTGGCAATCAATGTGTTAATTGTTGTTTAAATTCCATATCTTGTTTCTTTTTTTACCCGGATTCACATGAATCTGTAAAATATTATTTGCGGAATAAATAATACCAAGATTTGTAAAATGATAATTGTTTCCATTCTACAACACGATGTCAAGATTCGTTCGGCGTCATTTGTTTAAAAAATTCCCTTAGATATCTGTATCTCCTTTAATTTACCTTAAGCCCCATTCGCATCAGCCTTGACTCTGCTCCTGAAGTCAAATGAGTTAAGTAATAATGAAAGTAATTCTGTCTTCTACTGTTGTTGTGTCCCCCTCTAAAGAGTCTATATTGAACTTGTTATAAAATAAAATAAGACATATCTCGGCTGATTTACAGGCAAATAAACTAACATACTCAAGATCGAGAGCCGGATATGAACGGGACAAAGTCCCGTCACAAAATGACCATTATCTTCGTTTACACATGTTCCCGACGCACAAGTTCCGGTCGAAAAATAAAATAATATTTTAAAATGTTTCTATTTTTCGACCAATAAAAATGCTTCCCTTCTAATTATACTCGCATCGTTTTTCGAACCTGTTAAGCCATAAAAAAAAAACGCCATAAAACGGGCCACACGGAAGTACAACAGCAGTCAACAGGAGGCCAAGGAAGAGACCTGTCACGGTCGGGTTGAGCAGTCAGCAGCAGCCAGCAGCAGAGTAGCGACACGCCAACCAGCGAGAACTACTATGAGAGACCAACCCAGATCGTAAGCCGGCCTATGAACTATACCACAAGGTAGCTGTCTCAAAACCACACGTTCCTATTGAAATAAATCACGTAAATCTATTTCTGCTGTTGTCGTATTTCTTTCTTGCAACCATATGCTTGTCTATAACAAACTCGTCCGCCTGCTATAAGATTAGTAGGAGAGAAGGCCTTGGGGAGAACAGTCAACCAGACTGTTCGTAACTGTCGAACTCTCTGCCTTGATCAGAGAGGAACCCGGACGAGGCCTTGCCGAAGGGCAAATTTTCGTCCGGGGAGGTAGACTGTCGCTGAACCCGCTTATGCTGGTTCTAAGGGAATATTTTTGGCCGAGCCTACGGGCTCGGAGAAACCCACGTTAAACTCGCCTTGTGCCACATACATCCCTCGTGGTGGCTGTTAAATATTAACAGTCGACCAGACTGTTCGTAAATGTCGAATTCTCTGCCTCGGCAGAGAGGAACCTGGACGAGGCTTTGCCGCAGGGCAAAGTTTCGTCCGGGGAGGCAGACAGTCCCTGAACCCGTTTATACGGGTTCTAAGGGAATATTTTTGGCCGAGCCTACGGGCCCCGAGAACCCACGGTAACTCGACCTTGTGCCAGATACATCCCTCTTTGGGGGTGGGGAGTGTTAAATATTAACAGTCGAATAGATTGAACGCTGGGTCAACCGACACACATTCACTAGTCGTGTAATACTCTTCTGTTGTACTTACTGTTTAATATATGATATATCTGCAACACTTGTTATGTTGTCTCTTTAAACATTTACTTGGTCATAACATCTATGGATAGAAATAATGTCTCTGAGGTGTCTATTTCAAATATTAAATTAGACAGTAATATTATTTATATTATTTACAAGAATACCATCATCCTCATTTTTGTTTTTATCACGACGTTTCGGCCTTTGTACTCTCCAACCATCGTCAGGTGTTTGTCGACTAGGGAACTTTGAACTGAATCCGTTGGCGTTATTTAACCTACGGGGATAGATTTTTCTCGTTCCGCTGACAATGTTTAGGGATTACCGCGTATAGCTTTTTGCTTCCAAAGCAATAAAGACGCGAGGAGTTACTAAATATGCGAAGAAAAGGGAAAAAGAAAACATTATTAAGGAAAGAGAACAATAAAATAACAGGAATTACGAAGATAGATGATCACGATTGACATTTCATTTAAATTTTTGAGGATCAAAGTTGGATGGAAAGCAAAACGCCGGAAGAGAATTCCACAAGCAAGAAGTACGAGAGAAGAAACTGTTAACATAAAACTTACGGTTTCATCTAGCCATTTCAACTGTAAATTGATGAGACCTTGCCGTCAAGCTAATAGTACGTTTAAATTAATAAGTCTAGGTACCAAAGTTCATCAGAACAATTATCATGAAATATTTATAGAAAATGTACAGGGAAGCTACATTATGACGGTGAGAAAGTGACTAAAGACGAGATGCCAGGTCAGGACAAATAACATTGCAGATTCCTCTTTATATTCTATCAAGAATCTCTATGTCTGTTCTGGCGCTTCTGAGAGCGCCAGAACAGATGTAGCAACAACATTCGATGCATGGATGAATGGTAGATATAAATGTGCAAGATAGATTCTGCGATTTGATAAGAGAGATTGGATCAGTTCAAAAATTCGTCCAGAAATACCATAACCTTTCAATTTGTGAAGAAGACCAACATGTCATACCCTGTTAAATACCTTCAAGATATCAAAAGCAACAGTTCTAGGTTCATCATTCTTACCTAAAGCTTGATAGACTCTTTCAGCAATAAACGTTATTCATCAGCAGCTGACCTAGAGAAGCGAAAGCCATATTGCTTACCTAAAAGAAGACCCTGTGCGGTGAAATGCTTAACCAATTCAGAATTGATTAGAATCTCTAGAACATTGTCAAAAGGAGGTAGAAGTCTAAGAGGCTGATAATGAAAAGGATCAGACGGTTCGCTTGAGTTCTTGAAAACTGAAACTATGGACGATTTCTAACAAGCTAGAAAGCAAGAATCAACAAAGCATTAATTATAGAGGTTAGAGAAAACAGGAACCAATTCAGGAGCACATTTCTAAAGGACTATTGGATGAATAGTTCAGAGATGATAGCAGAAAGAAAACATGGACGGGTTATATGCATATAAGTCAATATAGACTCAATTCTAAGTGAAAAGTCAGGCAAAGATACTCTAGATGAGTCTAGAATAGAATTGGAAGAGAATTTATAAGCCAAATATTCTGTTTTATCATCAGATGTTAACATCACAAATTGAATAAAGAGAAGAGGGATAGAAGTTTTATTCATGTTTAATACAGAGCCGTCAATAGTCACGAGAACCATACATGTCAGAATCTATACGGTGCCTGATTCTGTTAGCAAACATAGATTTGGCCTCTTCGAGGACATTGTTTACAATTATTACGAGTAGACACAAAAAGGTTGTGATAAGTACTATCACGCTGGTCATTCAGTTGTGTGCCATGCGTGATACACGCGTAGGCGAGCATGTATCTTTCGATGATATTTTTCCCGCAGTAGGTTGCCATTTCTTTCTGCGGTAGACCAATTGCCATCCAAGGCTATAGAACCCGGTCTGTCCTACTATTTACCCATAGCTGGGGGGGAGAAGAAGAGGATTCATACCTTTCGCAAGTGTATTAGCCCGTAAGTGAATACAATGGATTAGACTGGAATTCGAACTCGGCTCTCCGATTCCTCAATCCGAGCCGCTATCCATTACTCCACCGTGCTGGTACAGTCTGTAAAAAAGTCATCCCTGTGAGCTATAATGGCTGAACAGGCAGGTGTAAGCCAAAGAGAATATTGTGGTTTCAGTTGGTATTTCCGAGAAGGTACAAAAGCATTGATACCGTCTTTAACCCAAGAAGACACCTTAGTGGCACAATCCTCAATAGGAAGGTTAAGAATATCAGACCAATGGGCATCTCGAAGAAATCCCATTGAGAGCGTTAGTAATCAGAAAAAAAAAAGTCTTGTGAATAGGAGGTTCTTGTCTAACAGACGACTCAAAGGAAACATCAACAGATACTACAACGTGATCTGTACCGTCAAGAGGACAGATTAGCGAAGCTTGAGAAGAGGGAAGAGAGGAGGTAAAGAATAAATCAAGTAAAGAAGCTTGTTAATCAGAATTATCAAGCAAATGAGTCGACAAATCCATTACTTGACTGAGAGACTGAGCAACGGAAAAGTTTGAATACCGGCAACATTGGTGACATTTGAGTGATTAAGCAAGTTGACCTGATGAGCATTAAAATAAAAATCACCAAACACAAAAATGTATAGAGATGAAAAGAGAGAGACGTATTTATATACTGTCAGATATTTTGTCAAATATGTTAGAGTCCAGAGATGTGGAGCTACAAAGGAAAAAGGGACAGCTAACGGGGTAATAAAAAAAAGGTCGAAAGCACATAAGAGAATCATCCGAGGACTAAAGAGATAATTCTTTATGTTGCAAAAATGGTTGTTTTCCTGTACTGCTCCTGCAAGTACATCGTTCCACCTGCTATCTTCTATCTTTAAGAGCCAGATCAGGCCGAAAACGGAGTATTCCCGCCAAATATGGATGGGAGCGGCGTAATCTTCCCTTTCCATTCTCGATAGAGTCCAAAAGCGTTTCCGCGTCCTTGTAGGCGATGAATTATTTTTCAGTCTGCAACCCTTTTTCTCGCAAATGAAAGCCCCTCACTACTCCCAAGGTGAGTGTTCAGACTGAAATAGCGATATAGCAGTGAGAGACTTGTAACGTCTCATCTGTGAGAAAGGGATTGCAGAGTGGAAAATTAATAAAATCTCCTCAAGGACACGTGGCACAGTGGATAA